AACATAAGCTTTGATATTCTGCTCTATCTACAAACGCCTGTTTAAAGTTTGGGGCAATCATTTTAAGTCGAGCTAGTAAAAAGCAACAAACAATAAACATGGGCAGTGGAACAAGTCGCGGGATGATTGATGGAATCACAAGCTATTCACAAATTACAACAAATTGCAGGCTTTATATTTTTTTTAACAGCATGGCAAGGGTAAATCAATTGTTGACTTATCATGTCTCCTGTAGTGGCTTTCCACTTTAGGTCCTCTAGGTCTCACCTGTTAAGAGGTGGTGCAACCACAAAGATCTGCAACGCAAGACGTGTTTTCCACTTCCATGTTTGTTGGAAAAGAGGCTACACTTTATATCACCTCCCTAGCTGGTGTGCCTCTAACCAAAGAACGAACACTCCACCTGAGTGTGTATTCGGAAAAATGGTCATCTTTTTGGGGCCATGCCATCCACTTCCATGATTGCTTCTTGTTACTACTAGTAAGGCACCTGTTACTACTAGAATCTTGTTACTACTAGTAAGGCACCTGTTACTAGTAGCGTGGCACTTGTTACTACTAGCTTCTTTTTGTTTCAGATTATTTCACAGAGTGTTAGATTGTATCGGAAGGTCCCACCAAGCCGCGCAAACGAGAAGAGGCCAAGTCGTGGATTGGAATCGCGCTGAGCCAATGACTGAGCTGGCGAGCGGAAGATGCAAAGGTCCAAACAATCCGAGTCAATGATGATGTCACAATAATGTCATGTCGAGGGCAAAAGCCAAGGAACTTGTACAGAATTCTTACTGGACCCTTCTGCCACAATTGAAGTCTCACGGCATGCTTCAAAGTAGGTTTCAGGAAATAATAATAATAAAAGTGTGCCTTTAGTTATCTATATATGATGTTATGTGTTTTGCATCACCTGTCTAATACGTATACACTAAGCCCTCAGCAAACGCTATGAATGTCTTGTGCAAACATGTCACGGGATTCCACTCTGAAGCCTCTCAAACAATCCTGAAATATCCTGAACATTGCACTTGAAGCTCAGCAACCTCTGGTTTCAGGAGAAGCCGAACAGCTCGTGTCGCCTGTCTCAGTCCCACCAAACACCCCAAACACACAGCCGCACCTCGAGCTGCCCTGTTGGGCAGCGGGGTGCTTTGTGCGTCCTGGTTCGGCGGCATAAAAGAAACTCATCCAGGCTTTGAGAAACAGAATGAAACATTTATTGTTACTTTTCTAGATATACACTCACAAAATCTCGCATACACTTAGTTGAAGATACATTCACTGGTCAAAATGGTTGTACCGGTCACCATGTCTCAAACAAACAAAGAACCAAATCAACCAAAAACACGCAACATGCAGGATGGTGATCTTAGCACCACTGGATTACATCCCCGAGAACATCCCCCTGGATCACATCCCCCACCCTCCCAAGACGAAGCACCGGTGTCCTCAGCATCGACTAAAGACGAAGCTGGCTTGGACATGGCTAGGTGGCCATTTTAGCCAACTGTTCGTTCTTGCTTGCTTTGTGTATTGTGAGTTGGTTCATTTGTTGGGTATGCTGCATCTGGTGTGATGTTCAGAGAAATTCTGTCGGATTCCTTCAGGTTTTGTTTCGGGGTCGGTCAAGATAAGAGATATGGGAGACTTGAGCTCCTCTCAAGGAGTGCGACCTACCCGAAGCGAAAGAACATAATGTGAGGGTTTAGGAGGACGGTTTTTCAGAACTGAAGACCTGTTGTTCCTCGACTCAGTTACAAAAGACTGTTTTTTTTCTTGAAGTCCTGGCAACCAGGCATTGAATTATAACGATTTTAGAGAAAGGCCTGCAACTGAACCATCATCCAGTGAGGATATATACATATATACCCACGCTTTGGCTTTGTTGCCTCCAGCTGTGCTTTGTCAGGCTCAGCAAGTCACCACGTTGGTGAGTCCAAAAGCTGGGTAGAGATCCTCGTCCAAAGCCTTGGCACATCTCTTGAAGCCTTCTTTCATCAATGGAGAAGGGGTTAGTGATGTAGTTATAACAATTATAGTTACCAGCTGCTTCCAAGGGGTCACCAATGGATATCTCCACACTACTTACAGGTCTCCATTGGGCACCCCTTGGAAGCGCTAGGTATACAATGTTTAATAATGAACACAAGTATATCTCCCTCATCAGCTGACAAACATATCCCAGGGTGGTCACCCCCTGTCTTTAGATGGGGTGCCGTATCCAACGTCCACTTTTTTGGGCAACCCGAAAGGACCTATTAAGGGTATCCCAGCCACAAGGTGAGCTCATCTACTGTCGCTCTGTTTTGAGGTGACTCTGGCGTCCAACATGTGCAATCCCATTTGAAGAAGAATGTCAAGCCAATCAAATTTGACGTTTCCTTGTCACGGCCGTTTCACATCAGTTGTTGCTGGATCACAGAGATTCTGAATATGTTCAGGTCGCTCTAAAAGTTTCGTAAAACTGAGTTGCATCATGTCGTGTCATGGCAGGGCCTTGTAGAACATCCGGATGAATTGCTGATCTGATTATTGAACTCGCCGACCGCCGGACGATTCCGAACGGCAGGCAAAACAGCAGATTGGGCCCCAACGACAACACCATACAGGAGAAAGGCTTTGAGTCGACTGGTTTTGAGTCTACTCGACATCCTGTCTAGGAGGGACAAGTTATATGGCACCAATGGTGCATGTGGTGGCATAGGAGAGCTTGTCTATGAACATTTGGTATGGTGCACCTCTTGGTCTTGAAGGCTGTTCCAACTAAACCAACAGCACCCGGAAAACAGGTAAAGTCGGTAAAGTGTGCATAGATGGGTTGCTACGTCGTGGTGATTGTTTGATTGATGTCAACCGTTTTAACCCACACATCTTGTTCTAAGGTACTGAGGCTACCTGCTTCGACTTGGCCGACTGAGCGATCTCTTTTTTTGAAGAGTTTCATTTTGTCCTCTTCAAGCACGAGGCCACGAAAAGCCAGGGGCATGCTTGGTTGCAAAGGTCACTGAACAAACAAAGCACCAAGAAGTGTAGCGATGTCAAATGATGATTGTTTCATCTCCAAGGGTGCCAATTTTGGTCAAAACATGTCAAATCCAAACTGGTGCCATGCAAAAGGGTCGAGTGCGCCTTCTCCGCCAAAGCTATTTCGACCAGTGCACACAGACTGGCCTATTTCGACGAGAAATCATCGACCTCACTGACTTGGAAAGGTCTATAATAGAGGTTGATCTGAGAGACTCACTTGGGTGTAGAAGTTGACAACCAATTTTGAGTGCCAACTGCTTTCGAGAAGAGGTGATGGTTAACAACTCATGCTTGATTTCTATAGGATCCGAAACCATGACATGGTTGACAACGATCGTACCAGACTGCAAAAAATACTCAAGACAATCAACATATTCGATACTTCTGCGGCAAGCCCACCGCTTAAATCTACCTTCGGACATCAGTTCCCTATCCCTACAAACCAAGTCATCCTTGAAACACAACAAAGTTTCCCAACACAAACTCGATCAAACTCGGATAGAAATTTTGTCTAGAGGAGCCGCGCCCATCATGCCCACGAGGCCCATTGCGGATCTCACGAGTCAAACCCTCTCTGCGAGATTGATTGAGCAAACCAGATGCTCCATGCATCTACTTTCCCTCTGCGAATGAACTGACAACCTGCTTCGCAGTGTTGCCATCATCTTGTGAGTCCAAGATTCCAAGATACGCCCGAAGGACGGATGTCTCCACAATCCCTTTGGTGCAAAACCTGAACCTCACACACTCATCTTACCCCCTGAGGACAAACTAAGAAAACGCTTCTGAAAAAGGGGGGGCCAGACTGTCAGGGGGTCCATCTGAGTCTTGGGATGTCTTGGGGTTCAGGTATGGGAAAGGTCCTTACGCTGGTTCCTTCGGTGCCATGTACCAGCACGTTGTAAACGCTCAGCATCGGCGGGCGTCAGCCTGGAGAGGTGGAATCGGCGCCAACAAATGGAGCGTACCGTTCGGATCCACCTGTTTGATCCCTCTTTGATCCTTTTTTGCACCCAAAAAACATCCGGATTCTCATTCTGATCCAACATGTCTGCCCAAAACACCGGGTGACGTAACGGAACCATGTCGGAACCTTCGGAGTGGCGGGTGTCCTTCCTGGCGGAAGGACCAAGACGTTCCACCGTTTTGGTCAGGGGAAACCGCTGGGTAAGGAAGACGACATGAACAAGGGAGTCATCTGTCGCTTCAGGTTCAATGGGACACTTTTTGAGAGTTCAAGGGGCGCCACCGAACGCAGCTCGACTCTGGACAGGACAGCACCGACTGGATGAATCCTGGTTTCCAGTTGGCGCAGGGGCCCTTTCCAGGTTATTCACATGCACACGCGAATGCATGTCCCACGACGCTAAAAAACGGGGCGATGCGTGCTGCGTTCTTTGCGCAAGCTCGGCGACCGTGGGCGAGTGATTGACCTCTCGAGAGCGGACCGTGATTTCAGCCCAGCGGACCGTTCGATAAGCCGATAGAAACGATGAAACGATCCCCAACAGGACGCAGAGTGAACTGGCGCGCTGAAGGGACAGCGGAGCTCTGTCGTCAATCAAACAAAAAGCTTGCAGAGTGGCAAAACACAGAGCTGGACATCCGGAGGAGGGGTTTGGGAATCGCGGTTCGGCAAATGGAACAAAGCCAGGAACTCCTGGCGCTCATGGTACCATGTTCTAAGCTTCGCTGCTGTTTCTGGTAGTACACACTTTCAAGACAAAACCCGACTAGGCAAACACCTGGATTTTGGTTTTACCCAAATACAAAGTTCGATCCATGTTGGGCATCCCTCTTCGTATCATTTCGTAATTAATTATCTACATTGCCAGAGTTTGTTCGTCGCAGTTTGCAAAACCCAGCAAGTCCAAAGGACAGGTTACTGTACACTGGTGCGTTACTAAAACACCGCTTAAACTGGTGCATTGACCCAAGGGGAAAGCTCATTGTTCTCCCGCGCCTGACGTGAGTAGTCTTCACGCCTAGCCACAGGCGTCACGCTGCGCGGTTTGGGACTGTGTCTTCCAAAAGCTACTGAAGATGAACTCTGCTGCTTCCATGTCTCTCGCTGGTTGAGTCCATGTGTCTTAGGTCCGACACCCAAACCAGGGCTCATACAGGATGGCTCAGGGATGCGCTCACTTGTTCAGACTGAACCATCCACTTGTCCAAGACAGGCTGTGCATGGGACCGTAGAACCGAGAGACCAAGCCGAACATGCCAAGCTGCATGCGATGCAGTTCAGTCCATCGCATGGACACATGCAGTTCCTGGACACGAGGTGTCACGCGTGGTGATCTAAGACATGCTCTTGGAATGGTGAAGGTCTTTTTCAGGAATTCTGTGACCCACCAGGTGATCCCAGTAGCCCAGGGCTACTCCCTCCCACCTTGAGGACTTCGTGTGGCGCACGCAGCGCCCAGCGGTTCCTGCTTCGGAACACCGAGATTTACACTCTGACTCATTAACATGGAAGTGTAAAATGGTCTTTTAGAAGACTACGTTCCTTTATTATGAACAAAGGGTTTTCCACTTCCATGTTCATGAGTGGGAGTGTATACAACTAGCCTGACTGAACCCTGACTGTTGATGCTCAGGCGGCCTGATTTGACAGTCTTTGACCCAACGTCTCGAAGTGGCGAAACTCCAAGCCGTTCGCATTCACAGCGAACGACGAAGCATAGCACGTCAAACAGATCAGTGGCGGAGACGGGAACACGATTCTCCTGTCCTGTCTGCTTCCAAAGCTTGACGAGCCGATTGCAAAGACATTCCAGGGCCTTGGTGACATCTACGGGCTATCGTGGCATTCGTGGCGGATCGTCTCCAGCATCACGGGCTAGGTGAGTAACATGTGTTGCAATCTATGCATCTCATAGCATGTTTTGATACATTAAAGAGCACAGTCAAAGACACTGTAAAACATTGTATAGTTGTAATTAAATGCGATTGGCTTTGCAATGGTCCGGCTTCCAAGGCCAAATCGCCCTTCACCGGATCCCACCCTGCATTTGCTACATTGGCATCGGTCATTGTTTGTGCTTGCATCACCGACGGATTAAAACCACAGCAAGCGTATGATGTTGAAATGCGTTAAACATACAACCAAACCTTGGTTAGGCCCTTGGGAGAAAAAGAATCCTCCCAGGATCTCCCAGGCCTCAAAGGACTTTGGGGGTGCATAATTCCAGAGATGACAGATGCGACGAAGAGTCTAGCCATCCGGGCTTGACGACCTGGCCCGAAGAAGGGGATTGATGTCTTCACACCCACGAATAGGTCGTTCAGCCCCAAAACTGACCAACCCCAGGACCCCCAGGTGGACCCCCCCAGGTGGACCCCCAGCACCCCCCCCCCAAGACCCCCAGGGGGTCCACTGCCACCTTCTCAGGTTCGGTGCGACTGGGCCCTCGCTTTGTGGATCCATCGGGCGATCGGGTGCCAAGTGGCGCAAGATGGGATCCGCCAGGCAGGCCTGGAGAACAGAAGGATGGACGTCGAGTGTGTATGTTGCGGAGACACCCAGGGGAAACCCCCCTAAACCCTAAACCCTAAACATCCTAAACCCGAAGAAAAAGAGAACATTTGCTTCACACAAATGAATTCGACCCACATCTTAGGTGGGGTAGCTACTGTAGATCCGTTGACTAATATGTCTGACTGTTGACATTGAATGATAGATCTTGATAGTATATAGGAACAAAAGCACTTGACGTGCAATGGCTAAATAGGCTAAAATCCAAGTATATAATTGTCCCATCCTTTTCTGTCGTGTTTAAGGCTACTACTTGGAGACTGTTCCACTTTATGGCCATGGGACTGCCATAGGCCATGTACAGTAGTTTGCTCTGATTGTTATCACGATCGATTGACAGGAAGTCATTATAGCAGTGCACTAAATTGAATTCCACTGGGGCATTACAATAACAACAGAATGCACCACGTGGTCAGTTAAAAAACTGTTGAAACCCTGCGGACATTTGTGAAAGTCCTCGCTTTGTCACATCTTGAGTACAGCCCACACTGTAAACACCAGTTTATACCTTTCCCCTATTGGCATGGCCCTTCAATGAAGCGCACGTGGCTGTCAAACGAACCCTTTCCCCGTGGAAACGCAGGGTTTTAAGCATTCAATGTATCATCTAAGCATGTGACATCCAACAAGAAGACACAATGATGGCAACGCATCATTCATAGTATGTTAAGATTAAAATGCATCAAAGAAAACAACATCTAGCATTGGCTCGCGTTTCCTGAAAAGCTACATCCTACACTTCGAATGTTCCGCCTCTGGTGGAACATCATGCGCATTCAAGGCCAAGGGCAAGCAACGCTGCCGCAGCTCCTGTGCCAAAAGAGTGGTTGTCGACTCCAGTCTGGCACTGCTCTGGTGAGGAGAAGGAACAGGAGGGCTGAAAGACAACAAAAGCTTTAGTGGTTTCACAGTAGATGGCACAGACCCATGATGTCCTGTAGATGGGGGTCCACTACTAAACCGCTGTTACTTGGGAGCCCCTGCGCCATCTACTCTCAATCCACTATAGACAAATATTGTTGTGTAAGTCATCTATAGTCACATGAATTGACATATGACTTCTTTCGCAAAATGTCAACACCAATTCTATAAGCAATCCTGCTCTATTGAATTGCCCAAGGCAAAAGGGATATGTACCAACTGCCTCTTATCTAAACAAAAAACATCTGGCCAATTGTTGCAAATTGATCTGGCCAACTTCTTCGTCAATTTTCCTGCGACACAAGGCCTCTTTCTTCCGATCTAGTCTTGTTGGTCCTATGGTCCGATTGCCCAGTCAATGTTCCCTTCTCTTCTCAAACTCCAATCAAGTCCTAAAATGCACTACTTTGCTGATGCTGGCTTGTTGTCAGTCGTGCCTTTGGCAGTCTGTCCATTAGACTCATTGGATTAGTCGTTGGGAATCCTCATCATGAAAGAGATTTACAGTAATCTTCGGGATCTCATAAAGATCATAAAGAGATTGCATTGATTGGGGTGGAGCCGAGTCCACATTCTGATTCGGTTCTCAAACCTTCTGCAAGTCTCGAATGGTTTCTTTTTCATGCGAAGTTGACATAACAAAAGGAAGTATCTCGCATACTTTGTTGAGCCTTTCACATTCTTGTTGGGTGCTTAAAATGTGCGCCTGCCGGTCAACTCACACTGCACAAGAGCTCAAATTAGCTCCCAAATGCTCCCAGTCTTCTTTTTCGGTGTTGCGCCCCAAGCGGGACATTTAGGATGATCTGGAAACTGGAGGCTTTGATTACTTGGGGTCCACCTACAAAAGGCTTCGAATAGGTGACCGGTCAAACTGTCAAGTGCAAGCACCTTCTTATCGATCTGGACTTCTTTGCGTGACAAGTAAGGCTAGGCTAGGTTCTATTCAAATGAAACATCCCAGATTTGGCTGAAACCCAAGAAACACATAGAAAAACATACCAGCGCCGAACACCAACAAAAAAACACAGTTCTATTATGAAAAGTAGTAATGGCCTCCAACCTACAGCAATAGCGATGGCCTCCACCTAGTAGTAATGGCCTAACACGACGGTCGTCTTCCCGGCTCTCCAGCGGCGGCAAGGGCGGCGGCACGAAGTCGTTGTGTCCATGGCGGCTCGCCAGCGGACGACGCCTCAGGAGGTCTAGACGGCGGTGACGACGGTCCGTCTACCGCGTCGGGTTCCCGCACGGCCGAGGAAGCGGACGCGGGAAGCAGCCGAACGCGCCGAAAATGGTGGGAGGAACTGGGCCTACATGGTGTCTTGCAAGGTAGATGTATTCCTGAAACCCGAATGGTCGATAATGGTCGCGTGGTTTTTGCATGTTGCTTTTGGGCAAGGGTATGCTATTTACTTATCATCCTTATGCAACACTCATATCAACAAATTGATCAAGGTTATGGGAATCGGAATAAGGAACAATCCTTTCTGACACTCCCAGCACTTCCAGCACTCCTGGACTTCGGACCGGTCCCAAATCGAGGACTGCAGGACTCCGAAAACCCCAAACATGGATCAACATTGCACTTCTCAATCTCCAAATCATGGCCTCTATCCACATTTATCCACATCCTCATAAGGTACGTGAGCCGTCCAACCCTGTCCACAGCATCTCAATCCCATCCAAAGGAATTCCTTCATCACGAAAGTAAGCCCACAAACTTGGCGTGTGGACTCTTCTGGAGGTCTATGGATGATATTGCAGTATGTAGGAGTATGTGGGCATGCGTCGCATCTACCCTGCCCTGTGAAAAGGAAGAATATGACCGGACTCGCGCAACGACTGAAAGGATCTTGAACATCAATGCCGCAAACATGTTCCTTTGAGCGTGGCAAGCAAGGGAAAAGGAAACGAGCAGCATGCGAAGCTTGGCGGGACACACACACACACACATTGAAACTGAGGAGGGAAACTCCGGTGTCACGCTGCTGTTGCTCAGGGTCAGCAGACTTGGCTGGGTTGACAAGAGCACCTGCTCTTCTTTCGTGTTTTTTTGCGAGCCAGAAAAGTTTGACTGGAAAACAATGCGCTTTTTACTTGCGCCACTTGTCTCTCATGTGAGAATCACATCCCAAACCAGCCCACTTGGTGTGCTGCAATTGAAACCAACCTCGACCTGGCCCACTGGGTTCAGTCATGTACATCCCCGTGTCAAGACTCCAACGGCTCAGTCTTCGCAAGTGGTGGTTGGCGATTGGCCCAAAACAGTCTTGGGGCTTTGAGCCGTTCGAGATTATCTAAGGAAGGTATACTCTGCAAAGCAATGATTGGTTGATTCACGTGGTTTCTTTGCAAACACTGATCTGTTGGGCCATGAGAAGTTATGTGGATTTCACCGCCCTGTTTCCCTTGACACCTGTTGTGTGTGCGCGTATGGATGAACCACCACGTTTGGTGCAATTAAGGTGCCAAATCTGCAAAGATGGAGCCGTAGTACCAACCTCATCAAGCGTGACAAGCCAAATTGCCAAAGCACTTCGGATGTGATATATTATATATTATATATCATGTCAGCAGAAAGGGACCTCGGGAGCAAGACATGGGTTGATCATGTCATATGTCCCGTCAGTGTGATGTTGGAGAGTGAAGCACTCTCTGAGTTGATTCTCACAACTGGAAGGTTAGTTGATAGAACCGTGTACAAGTGTGAATCTGGTACCCAAAAGAAGCTGAAACATTGCTATATACTATAAAAATATATATATATCTTTGTGTGTAGAGTATATCCCACCTAATGTTAGTTTTGTTGCTCGATCTCGATGTTTCTTATTCTTACGGGGAACAAACACCCGTTTCTCCAAGCTCAAGTTTGCTTTTTGGCTTTGCCCACCTCAAGTAAGGGGAGAAATACGACTGGCTTCATGTCATGTCTCCTCAGGTTTCACAATTGGATACACTTGGTCTAGTTCACCCAAGTTTTCTCTAGTATGTCGATGCAAATGGCGGCCAAGGCGCAAAAACATATCGATCATAGGCCGTAAGCACACCTGTCCGGTGCCAAAGTCAGGATCCTCCGTGATCGGAAAAAAGAGGTGCTCATTGAGAGGTACTGAAAGTTCTGTCCTAGTCGATTAGAGGCACATCTAAGAGTCACATCTATGGCCTATGGATTCTGTCAACAACAACAACAGCAGCAGCAGCAGCAACAGCAACAGCAACAGCAACAACAGCAGCAGCAACAACAACAACCACAGCAACAACAACAACAACCACAGCAACAGCAGCAGCAACAACAACCACAGCAACAGCAACAAGAACAACAACCACAGCAACAGCAACAACAACAACCACAGCAACAGCAACAACAACAACCACAGCAACAGCAGCAGCAACAACAACAACAACCACAGCAACAGCAACAAGAACAACAACCACAGCAACAGCAACAACAACAACCACAGCAACAGCAACAACAACAACCACAGCAGCAGCAACAACAACAACCACAGCAACAGCAACAAGAGCAACAATGTGTTTGCATCGCGCAACTCCAGCTTAGCAAAGGCCTTGGGATCGTGTAAAGAGGGAGCTGTGCGTTCTGTCTTTCACCCGGTGGTGTGTCACTATTCCTCTTGAAGTTATCATGATGCAGCTACACGGACTTCCATCAGCATGGCACATCAGCTTGTGCATTGGTGCCTCGCCGCCTCGTGCACCCCAAAAACGCATTGAACAAAGCAGCTGAATGTGCTGGGCTGACAAACATCGAGTCAGCCACTGGGCTGCAAAATCAGCCACGGACGCGCTGTTGAGTATTGCCGCTGTGCAAACATTCACTCTGAAGAAACACATGCATTGAACATCAAGCATCAAACAGGGACTTGTCAGTCTTGTCATGTTTTTAAGGTTTAGAAGAATCACCGCATTATAGTACGATATGATCAAATCCAAAAGCCAACATGTTGTCTTCTTGGAGTCAATACTGGGCACAATTATTTACCTTATATAAGCCATTGGACAGGGACAAATTCCAAGCTGCAGGCATAAATAACAAACACTTCATTATACTAGCTATTTCGGGGTGTTGGACATGGACTTCTGTCAACAATGAGCAGAATGGGATCGCATTCTGATTGCGCACACCGCACTTGTCAATGATATGGCAACAATCCAACACCCTGTTGCGTAAAGTGAACCTCAAAGAAAAAACATAGAACTTCACTTCCACTATGACTATAGATCCCTTTCTGTTCCAACTCAGGGCTCTGTTCCAAAACCCGTCGAAAAACTTGGAACTCTCCCACCGAACCGAACCGCGAACCGCTCCGTCGTCCCTCTGTCCAGTTCTGGGTCCCTCCGGCTCGTGGAGGCGTAGTCACGCTCCACCTTCTCCTCGACGGATCCGTCGAACGGTCAGACAGGCACCCCGTAGACGTGCACCCCAAAGACCAGGCACTAACAAGCCTTGCGCAAAGCATGGTCAATGCAGCATCCAATAGCCTTTGTTTCTTGGGTGGTACTGGTAGTTGGAAACTTCATCCGTAATGAGTTCACTTGGCTCATACCAGTTCACGACCGTTTGGACCGATCGATGTAACTTGACGTGGTGAGCCATATAGATGATGGATCCAGTTCTCAACAAAAGACCTAAGCTCGCAGTTGTTTCCTTTCAGGTCTGTCGGTGGTTTTTTTGTCTAATAATGTGTCCAAAAATGCCCAAGCTATCTCAACATATGTTTTTGTTTTTAAATATCTATATTCATTGACACAAACATGTGGCATGCTCTGTATGTTCTAAACACAGAGCAATCCACACGTCATTGCTTTGATTGGTATATGTTTCCTTGTATACTTAACACTACACCAGCTCTCAATCGTTCGCTGAAGACACGTGCTGCTTTCATGCCTGTTCAGCTCAGAACGTCTCCAACAGCTCGGAACCTTCTCAGGTCAGTGCTTCCCTTCTTTACCTCTTTGCAGCCCACCATCCCTGAAAACATGAGGTGCCTTTCTTCCCTGAACTGCTGAATCTCTGTTGATCTCTTTCACTGTAAGTTCATAATAATGGATGAACATGGACTCCAACTACAAAGCTGGTATGAACCTGAATCCTTTCCACCGCCCAACCACGTCTTGCAAACGCCCAGTGGCCACGGCGTCGAATTCCCACATGGGCGGGCTCTTGATGGACTTCCGTGTTTCATCCTCGGTGATTGATCTATCCAGGGAAATCCGAGTAGGTACAGTAGATGGGGAGCATCGAAGGGTTCGAGCGTTTCAGGTGCTTGAAAGCAAACGACACATGGCCTGAACAGTGATCTGAAAGGGATCCCAAAATGACCCCCATCCATGGAAAACATTGATTCTGTTCTCTTTTAAACGAACCTTTGACCTTCCAACGCGACCATGGCCTAATGGCTGGACGCATAGGAACATGGTGACTTCCTGCAAGTGGATGGCCAACCTGGAAGTGTACGAACCCATGGCCAACATTTTGAGCTCCCAAAGATCGATCGACAACATCTGCTTTCTCTTTGAACAGGGCCCTTTGGCGGCCAAAGAGGAGGTGCGTCTAAGACGGGCAGCTGCAACGAACCTTCAGGAACGACAGCGTTCATCTTCGGCCTCCCGGCCACGGGGATTTCTTCGCCTGTGCCTGGTACGGTCCGTGGGCGGAAGGACTTGGTGCAAAGGTGTTTCGCTCCCCCGTTGGGTTCCGATGGATGTGGTGTTCAAGGTTTGCTACTGAAAGCCACTGGCTACGGGCAGCCTGATGGAAGACGCTGCTAGCATCTGCTAGCAAGACGCTGTCATAGATAACACTGATCAAAGGTGTCACACCTCAATGTCAACATAAAAGGAAGCTGTACTGACTCTATTGAAGGATATATCCGCCAAGTGGTATGGGTGTATGCAAAGCGAGTGCTGCTAGTGATATGGGTGTATGCTAAGCTCTTGTCACCGCCCTAATAAAATCAAGTCCGAACATATGTGTCTGTTCTAGTACTGTACATATATTTCTATAATATATATATATACATATACTGTATACAATGCAAATGCATGTTTGTCCGGTGTATTTTCAAGTGTAGCGTCCATCAGGGCAAACTGATTGCTTCCGTCAGTCACGCCTAGGTCAAAGGTCTTCACAACCTGAGCGTGTTGCTTTGGCGGAAGAAAGGAGCCCCTGGCAGATCCAACAAGAATGTGAGATTTGCATGCGTCATGAGGTTAATTACATAAGTTATATATATATATATATATATGCTGCCAGACCATTTTCTGGCTGCAGCTACTATACCAACTGATGCACCGGTTCTGGGGGTTCTGTGACGTCAGCATCTGCACAACGTTGTCCCGACTCTCTGAGGTGTCAGAAAAGAAGTACCAGCACCAGCTGCTTCCAACGGGTCACCCGTCTGGACAACCCAACCCTATCCTACCCTACTAGCCTAGGTCTCCAGACAGTGCCATTGGAAGTAGGAGCCCAACCAGCCAAGCGGAAACTGGGTTGGACCCAGGTCGTCGGAGTGAGTGGCCCCATATGCACCCACACACCTTCTGAACTGAGAGTCCCGGCATTGTCCATCAAAGACACGGCGATTTTGGAGTTGCCTTCTTCCACGATGGCCTTGGTCATCAGTGCCTTCTTGCACCCTCCTTGCTTCTACCGTTCTACCACTCTCGTTGCAACGACTCGCAAACCTCGGCTCACATTGATGCTGTCCCAGAATCCTCAGCTGAACCCATACCTTGGCGTCCCTGCCAGATCCATTGCTCCGATGCCTGCAGCCCAGCATGGCCCAACGGTTGACTTGAATGGAGCCGGCACGGCTTCAAAGCCCTCTCGACGGCCAGTGCTATTTCAAGGATGGGGAGAGCCTATTTCAGGTTCCTACACTGGACTGCGGATTCTTTCTTTTGTGGCTTTGGAGGGTCATAGTAAGTTCCCTGCTGCGGGTCTCCCATTCCGGGGAGAGAAAGGCGCAAAAGTTTTGGCAAATGTCAAGCGAATGTCAAGTAGATATAGATGATCCTGGTGATGATGTCCTCACCTTCTCTAAGTAAGGCCCTCGCAAAGCTGTGGGAAGCGGTGATGTTTCAAGGGCTCCAAAATCTTGACAGGGAGAAGACTGCCAAAACCCACGTTCTGCTTGCAATCCCCATCAAAGATATTTAGTGTAGACTCTACAACAATTAACAGCCATGCCTGGAGATGTAAAACCATTCTGGAGAGGGGAGGATTCTGACAGTGTCCAACAGCTAGTGGTTAGGATACTTCATGTAACTCCATACAGCTCCCTGTTTGGGAATCAGCGAAGTCACCAGCAAATTACATGCTCAGCAGGAATGGCCGAGCAGACCCGGCCGAGGATAAAGTGCAGAAACACGGACCTGGACCACTGTCCCCAGCGGGGGTCTAGGCCTTCGTCCCTGAACACAACATGGAACCTACTCTACATTACTCTACCCCAAACACTCCATATAGGACTGCCATATTTGCCCACATTAGTAAGGGTGGTTTGGGGGTCAATGAAGGCACCTATTCCAGTGACATGGAGTGGTCTGGGCTTCTACCGTTCCGTCGCCGACGAATCGGTCCGCCGGTCCCTCGGTCCATCCGCTCCTGTCTCCGTGGCCATGCGCGAGGCAGACGTGCTCTTCGCCGAGCGGGCGGAGCCTTTTGAGGACCGAGCCGACAGCGACCGGCGAGTGGTTTGGGGTGCCGAAGAAGGCCAGGGCGAGGCGACCAAACGGGGCGATAACAACCGGGGTGGGGGTGGTGATAGATGATGTCCAATGCGAAGGGGTCTGCAGATCTCTGTAGTGGTAGAGGATATCTCTATGTACCTAGCACTCAGGCGACCTTTGTTTTCAGAGGTCACTCTCAATTCATGGACCTGGCACCAGAAAACCTGGCTTTTGGATGTCAGGGGCGTATTTTTCCAAAGGACCATTTTTTTCTGGTTCAAGTGATATGGAGCCTTTGATTCAAGAACATGCTGATGCTGGTTGGCCAATGATGGGCCTATATGATGGTTCCATTGCTGTGAAAAAAAACATGTTGAGGCTGATGGGCCCATGATAGGACTGCACCTTCATCCCTGTGGAGCCATTCATGGCACATGTTTCTGAGTTTTTTAATGTCTTCCTTCCAAAGAATTCCATGGCTACCCCTTGCCCAGCGGATCTCAGTGATCTTTTCGCTCGGCTGGCATGGTGGCGGTGATCTTCCACGCAAGGTGCTCGGCCTCAGACCGCAAATGTTCTCGAGAAGGGGTGAACATGAAGGTATCACTGTATCACTCAAGATGGTATTGGATGCAAGCTCATCTTACTTTTGGAAAACATCGAGTGCACAATTGGTAAACAATGCTTGGACGGAGAACATGTTCCATACATGTCCACAAAAAACGCCACAACCTATCCAACAAAGAAAATTTTGGCTCAAGTGTTTGGGACTGACCTTGAAGTTATGAATGCACCAGGGATGCCTAGCCTGTCTGGTGTAGCTGCGGAGTGGGAGGCCTGTGAAACAATCAGGAACCGGCTTCGCAAGCACAAACGCATCTTGGATAAAGATGCTTGGGCTGATGATATCAAGGTGGATGTAAAGGGTGGGGAGATGAACTATGAAGTGTTGAGGCCTCTAGTGAAACGCCTGCTTGACAAGAAGGAAATGGTTGGGATGCATACACTTCCAGCAATCCTTGCCCAGTCACTTGCTTGTTTTTATTTTTTTAATACTTTCAGCTGTGGTACTGGGTAGTTTGCTATTTAGTGTTTTTATCTTTTAACTTTAAGTTGAAAACACTAGTAATTCTCTTGAATTCAAACATTTGCCAGCCAAGTAAGGCTGAAAAAGCTGTATGGACTGATGGAGGTGCCTTTGCCCGCCACCAAAGACATCAGGAAAGATGCAAAGGTCCTCAAACAATTCTGTGTCTTGGTGAAAAGAAAGTTGCAACGGGAGCAGCTTTGTAGATCACTCAACTTCAGGAAGTTGATGGCGCTAGTGTTCGACCCTGATGAAAAGGACCGCAGCCTGTCTTGCACCATGTTTTCCAAACAAACACTTTTTGGGGAAGCCCCATGATGTCCCATACCCAATGATCCCTACAACACCTGGCCAGTTTTTCCAGGACCCAGTGTTTTCCAGCGTGGACAACGGCCTAGACCTAGTCTGGGCAGAAGATGAAGAAGAGGAGAACTTGTGCGAGTCAGGTGATGAAGAAAATGAAGAGGAAGAAGTTGATGATGAATTGGAGGGTGACACTGGAGCAGGTGGTGAAAACGGGGAGAGGGACGAAGGAGAAGAGAAAGAAGGGGAGGATGAAGTAGAGGGTAGGGTGAGTGGTGAAGCCAAACAGGTGTCGTTCCCCGATTCCCAGCCTATCTTTGAAGAAGAGCTATTTGGATCTGAACCAGAGCTATTGGCAAACCACAGCCAAGCCGAAGTCATTGACCTTCTTGAGAGTCCTGGAAAATGTGATGGTGAAGAAGGGTGTGGCCACGAAAAGGAACCTTCCAGCTCTTCTTTGGCAAGGTCTGGTACTCAAGAAGTGTTGGAGGATGAGGCTGTGAAGGAGGCTAGGCTCCAAGCGCTCAGGGACAAACTGGCCTCGATGAAGAAAGAAGTGACGTCGTTGATTTTTGGATGACATAGCAATCTTTATGATGTATGTTTTGATTTCCTGGAGCTATCCTGCTTAGTCTAGGGAAACCATGGGAAACCTGCCAGGGTCCAACTTTGAATATGTTCTTGCCTTTCTCCTGCAATCAACCTAAGGAAGGCCAAGGGGTCATTTGAGGCCCCACTTGTGGTTCTTGAAAGCCAACCATTTGGGCACGATGATGTCGAGACCCAAGTGCACCCACTTATGGAGGATTTGGCGAAGGCCTACTCGGTAGAAGAGCCTTTGAAAGGTTTTGTCGAGCTCCCCAATGCACCAACAGCAGCTTTGACTTAAGACTTAAGTGACCATGTTGTTTTCTTTTGTGGTTGCTTCTTTTGCACATCACAAGCCCCTCCAATTTTGTGCCCACTGGTTTGACCTATCAGGTATTACGCCGACAGCAAATCCAGCTCAAACAAGATGCAGAGGCAGAACATGAAGAAAAAAAACAGCAAATCCAAGAAGGGAAGAGGCAAAGGAAAAGGAAAGAAGGCTAAAACTCAAGAGACGTCCAAGGCTGAAAAGAAGGATTGCAAAGGTCAAGGCGACGATGACCAAGAGAAGATTGATGGAGAGGAGGATGAACAAGATTTGTCTGATGATGACGATGATGAACACCAAAAAAGCAAGAGTAAAGAAGAACATGTTAAGACCCAGCTAGCGCAGCCCAAGGAGGAGAAGCCGGAGATTGAGGATGAAAAGCACAACAAATCCAAAGCTGCGGAGAGGAAAGAAAGAGCACAAGAGGCTAAGGGCAAGGCAGAAAAGATGCAACCTGGGGCCGCAGATGAAGAATGGACTGCAAAGTCAAGAAAGAAGACACATGACGCTGAAGAGAAGGTAGATGAAGAGAAGATAGATGAAGAGAAGGTAGATGAAGAGGTGGTATATGAAGAGAAGGTTGAGGAAGAGGTGGTCGATGAAGAGAAGGTTGAGAAGGTTGAGGAAGAGGTGGTCGATGAAGAGAAGGTTGAGGAAAGCAAAGCCTGTGCAAAGGACTTGAAGAAAAAACGAAAACAAAAACTGTCTGGTGAAGAAAGCCGGGTTGAGAAGAAGGAAGAACCAGAGCAGATCATGAAGAATGAAGGTGATGATGAACATGCCAAAGAAGGAGATGATGAAGACGAACACGATGACAGTCCTGAAGTGTCCAAGCGGAAGGAAGAGAGCATTGCACCAAGCGGATGTTCACTAGAAAAAACCAAAGAGGAGTAACAAGAGGCGAGGCAAAAAGCAAGGGCAAGGTGATGAACCAGAAGAGGCTGTAGCACAGGAAGGTGCGAAGAGGCAACGCAAGCAAACAAAAGAGGAGGAAGGTGAAGCAAGAAAGTCTCAGAAGAGGAAAAGCGAATCCAAGGCTCCAAAGAACATGGATGATCAAGATGCGAAAGAAGAAAAGGGCAAGGAAAACGGCAAGAGTGCTCAGGGAAAGGAGAAAAAGGGCAAGAGAGCGAAGGGAAAGGAGGAAAAGGAACCAGTTGAGGAGGAAAAGGAGGAACTTGAAGAAGAGAAGGAGAAGAAAGGTCCACAAGCAAAGCCAAAGGCCAAGAGCCGGGCAAGAAGGGGAAAAGCAGATCCACAGGATGAGGTGAAGGATGCTACCATGGGCACGGGTCAGGGAACCACATCTCCAGCAGCACCAAAAAGAAGCTCAAGGAAAAGAAAAGCGGACAAAGAAGAAGAAGAACAAGAAGTGAGGAAAGAGGAGCCAAAGAAGGTGACAGGTGATGCCAAGGCCCAAGGTGCAGGTGAGGAAAGGAAGAGTGAGGGTCAGACCGGAGAAACTGAGGAGGGAAGCAACAAAAGGCAAAAGACCTTTGCTCGACGGAAGTGTCCTACAACTTCGTTTGGCAAGATGAAGTGGACTATTTTGCGTGAAGTGTTTGAAAGCAAAATCAAGTCCTATCTGACATCGTACAGCAAACACGAGGAAACCACGAAAACACATTGTTTTAAGGGCATGAAATGAAAAGGTGTAGGATTCTTTCAACAACCCGCCTCCTTTGGGAACTCCAGGTGCCAAAACAATTCTTTTAGACCAGGTCATTGGGTCCCTTAAACACACTGCAAATGTTTCTTGACTGAGACTACTGTAAACAGAATCTGCAAAAATAGTTGTTGTGGATGAAATGATGAACAAGTTACAATGATATGAGTCATGATTGCACCCACCAGCTGACTCTCGCAGGACAGTTTCTGGTCATTTGCTACTCAGTGCTGGGCTGACTTGAAGGTAGAAGTCGGAGCCCACAACATCAGCGACCTCGCGCTCACAGCAGCGAAGAAGTATCTGAAGGAACGCATCGAGATGAACGGTCAGTAGGTTTCACCGCTACCTGCCATAGTTTCCCATCTCTCCTATCGTTGAAGCTGGAACAGCTCATGTTCTTGATCAACCTGGTTTGCTTGGTGCATCCTAGGAAAAACTGATTGACATAGCTTGACTAGAAGATTGTGATGTAGTGTTCATAATTGAATCAAAATTGTTATTATATGTTGCTCCATATCTTCCGTTTCCAGCGTGGTTGCTTTTGGAGGGATGGCGCACAGGCTTACAAATTAGTTCAATCACATATTGATTGCAAACTGGTGTTTCTTAGACACCCAATGCCTTGCCAGCAAGGTTGGTGTGTGCTAGTTGCAGTTCTGGGCTGGAGGGGCGTCGAAGTGTGCCAACCTTTGTAACTCCGAGTTCCAACTGGTAGCGAATGTCAAGTCCATGTGGCAGGCTTTGATCCAGCACAGATCTCAAACCTCGCACCCTCCTAGTTCAAAAAGGTGAGTCACTGCGATAAGCAAGAGTAAGGTGAAATTGGTAGAACTATAGTCATAATCTAATAGAACATCACAAAACGATGAACTTCTGCTGTGGCCTGTATGACTTTGATCCGCCATTCGTGGTTCCTGAGCCCTCCATAACTCTCCCACAGTGTTCTTGTTTGGGTCAGATCTAGTCGGCCTTCAGGTGCTGGTCCACATGTCGCGGGGGACCAAGCGGCCGTGC